TCAGACAACTCATGGTGTAGAAAGACTCTGAAGTGTTCCGTGGCTCCCCGCCCCCCGACCCCCGAAGCGCAGCGCGTAGCCCCGGTAGAGCTTTAGACCTGAAGCGACTGGAGGATTCTGCTTTTTCCTGGCTCTGGCTCCGCGGACTGGAAATGTCGGTTCACATCCCAGCATCACGGACCGCAAAGCCCGAAGCTGCACCAGGAGAAGTCAACTTCATCCGAAACCGAGTTACGGTAGGGGCTGGACTTCCGGGATTCAAGTTCGGATGAAGAGAATGCACAAGATGGTAGATGCCAGGTTGAAGAATGCGGGACGTGCGAGTGGCAGGCTCCCAACAAAAACGGTCCCACAAAATTCGAAGGTGGGTTCCGAGGTCAGGAATTGAGGGACTTCCGTTCAAGCCTCAAGGTTTTGAATCAAACAGCAACAGCGGAGCTGATTGAATGCAACAGGCCACGAGGACCCCCGATTGTCAGGCCAAGATAGGGGCCTCAAGAAATAGAAAAAGCTTTGGGGTGTATTTCTATCAAGTCTAGTTAGTCTAGCTATATAGACACTATAAGGGCGAGATAAGACTCCTAATTGTTCAGGCTTCTATGTTACACCCCATGCTAAACATTCCTACCAAGGCTCCCGCGACTGCAGGAGGCTGACGTCGCAGAGCAGAAAGCATACCATGTTCCTGGGCCTCATGAGCAACGGCCACAACACTACACATGGGAGTTGCTGAAAATGAAGAAACCGAACAGAGAATCCTAAATCATAGGATCCCGACTATAAGGACCCTCAAAGAAGGTAGTACCCTAGTTTCAGGCAGCCACCATGACAGCCGAGGCATAACCGTGAGGGTGATCAACGCCTACCACCATCACCAGCATCATGAGTGCCATCAACATCACAGTGAACATAACCACCAACGCCACTATGAACATCATCACCGTCCTTCTATTCCTTCTTGTCATCGTGGTTGTCGCAATGTTGGCCAGCATCGCGCCCTTATCGCATACTCGTCGTCACGGTCATTGTCACCAATGCCACCTTCATCGCTATTATCATCACCATCGTCGTCATCAGCATCACCATCATAATCACCCGCAGCATCACCATCACCTACCCTGAGAAAACAGTACTGAACCAAACGCTGGGAGTCACGTGTCACTAGGTTCCAAGGATTTGAGGCATTCGGCCACGAGGGGCCATGAGTGCTCAGGCTGCGGCTGAGAGGATCTGGCTTGCTGACCTGAAAGAGCTATGTAGACTCACTACACACACACACACACATATAT